GTTACGGAGGGACCAGCGGCGGGAGAGGAAAATTAGCTCGAGACATTGATAAGTTCCTGACACCAAGGCCATTTTTTCCTCTAAGCAACTTCACTCGTCTTCCCTTTTTCCATCTTTCAGTTCTTTGAATGTTTGTGTTATTATTTGCACTATTATTATTATTATTTTTTTTTTTACTTGAGTCTGTCCTCTATTTTCTTTTCGTTCTTGTACTTTCATAAGAATCCATTCAGAGTAATACGTATCTAGTGTTTCTTTTATTGTGTATTTTTTCCCCCTTTATTTTCCTGTTTTCGTTCTCTATATCTTTTCTTTTTTATAGTAATCCCCAAAGATCCCTTCACTAAACGTTCGTGTCTTTTATTTCTTCCATTAAATTGTCATTTCTTCGCTATCCCATAAACCACCGTTTATTTTCTTTGTTTCTCTCGTTTTCTTGAAAGGAAGAAGAGAGGAGAGAGAGAGAGAGAGAGAGAGAGAGAGTGAGTGAGTGAGTGAGAGAGAAAGAGAGAGAGAGTCGAGGCGAAACAAAACGAGACGAGAGACAGAGAGAGAAAAAGAGACGAGACGAGAGAGAGAGACAGACAGAGAAAGAAAGAGAGGCGAGAGTGAGAGAGGGCAAGACACAAAAAAAAACGACCAGTTGCAAAAAAAGTAAAACGGAACGAACCACAGAATGAATCGCCAGTCTCATGGCCTTTGTGCAACCGCAGAGATAATTAATTAATTGCAGCTGATTAATCGGCCGTGACAGAGATCGTGATGTTCCCATAGACGGAGGAGGAAGAAGGAAGGAAGTGCGAAGTGAGAAAAAAAGGGAGGAAGGAATAGGGGAAGAAAGAGGAAGGATGTGAGAAGCGGGGGGGGGGAGGAACGGTGTATGAGAGGGAATGAAATAAAAAGGTGGAAAGGGATGGAAGAGGAGAGAGGAGGGATGGAAGAGAGGGAGAAAAGCAAGGGAAAAGAAGAAGGGAATAGGTGGGAAAGAAGGAAAGAAGAGAAACTGAGAAAATATGTGAACTAATTGGTATATAATCTTCCTCCTTCCGTTTTAGAAAGTATATCCGCTATTTTTTTTTCTTCTTTTTAAAAATAAAAACACAAAAGGCTGGTAACCAAAAACAGGTGGGGGAAAAAAAGCGAAAGTGGAAACAAAAGAAACGAGGTATAGAACAAATACAAAACAAAAAAAAACGAAAGTGAACTGAATCAGAGAGAAACGAGAATAGAATGAATAAAGCGCTATAATACAGAGACGAAAAAAGAAATCGTTTCAATTAAGTCGTCCGGATATTTTTTTTTTCTTTTTTTTTTCTTAGGAATGGTAAACATCCTCCGCCGATACATTTATCCCTAAATTGGTCTGATTGGGGCTCCTGGCGGTCGCTAAACCCCTTTACGATCTCGTTGTGTGTTTATGGGCCCAATGGTAGTTGGGAGGACGACGGCGATGGGACCAGGGGCGTGGAATCGCTCGTTCTAATTCTGTTCTCGCTTTTTTTCTCTCTCTCTTTCTCTTTCTTTCTTTCTTTTTTTTTTCTTTCTTTCTTTTTCTTTTTCTTTCTTTTTCTTTTCTTTCTTTTTTCTTTCTTTATCTTTCTCTTTCTCTCTCTCTCTCTCTGTCTCTCTCTCTCTCTCTCTCTCTCTCTCTCTCTCTCTCTCTCTCTCTCTCTCTCTCTCTCTCTCTCTCTCTCGTTCTTTGCCTTTTCGTATCTATTTTTTCTTCTCTCTACACTCCTTCCCTTTTCCCATCCCTCCTTCCCCTCTTCCCTCCCTCCGTCCCTCCCTATCTTTCCTCTCTCTTTCTCTTTCATTCCCTTTCTTATCCCCCTCCCCCCCCCCCCCAGAGTGAGAGGATGAAATTCCCTCGGGACTTCGCGCATAAGTAGCCCTTCCGAGAGAGCCGCCGGCGGTAATTCGCTGCACTTCCGAGAGCATTTAAAGCCCGTTCATTCGCTCGCGGGGCGGAGGTGAACGCAGCAATAAATGTACATCTTCCTCTTTCTCTTGCTCTTTCTCTTTCTCTTTCTCTTTCTCTTTCTCTTCTACTTTTCCTTCCCTTCCTTCTCCTTCTCATCCCCTTCCTCTTCTTCCCTTTTTTTCCTCTCCTCTTTCCCCCTTTCTCTTCTTGCCCTTCTCCCTCCCTTTCCCTTCCTCTTCTTCCCCTCCTTCCTTTCTTTCCCATCCCCTTTCCCTTTTCCTCTTCCCCTTCCCTTCCCCTCCCCTTCCCTTTCCTTCCCTCCCCTTCCCTTCCCTCCTTCCTTTCCTCCTTTCCCCCTTCCTCCTGTCCCTTCCTCCTTCCCTTCCCTTCCTGTCCCTTCCCTACATTTCCCCTTCCCTTCCCCTCCCTTCCCTTCCCTTCCCTTCCCTTCCCTTCCCTTCCCTTCCCTTCCCTTCCCTTCCCTTCCTCCTTCACACACCCCCCCCCCCCCGCCCCCACCCAGTGATTAAACGTCTCGGAGCCTTGATTGTGGGAACTGCCGGAGATCGGGCCCTAATGATCTTGTTTGCCGAGGAACGAGTATTTATGCCTTCGCTCGCTCCTTCGCTCTCGCTCTTTTTCTCGTCTTTCTCTCTTTTTCTCTCTCTCTCGCTTTATCACTCTATCTATCGATGTATCTATCTTTGGATCTCTAACTTTCCCTAATATATATCTACACACATAGTGTGTAGATATATTTTAGTGTGCGTGTGTGTTTATGTCTATATATAGGTATATATATATATATATATATATATATATATATATATATATATATATATATATATATATATATATGTATGTATGTATGTATGTATGTATATGTGTGTGTGTGCTGAACACCAAGTATTCATTATTATTATTATTATTATTATTATTATTGTTATTGTTATTATTATTATTATTATTATTATTATTATTATTATTATTATTATCCTTAATATTATCATCATCATCATCCTGACCACCCCCACCCCCCCGCCCCACAGCCGCCCTAACCCGATTCCTTGTGTCCCGCAGGAGCATGGAGGAGGAGGTGGAGGGCGGAGGCACGCGCGAAGACTTCCTGAGCGAGGACGACCACTCCCCGACCGACGCCTCTGAGGACAGCGTGGAGGTGCGAGTCCAGCCCATCCGCGGCCACCACCCCCACCGCCCGCCCACCCCGCCCACGCCGCCCGCCCACCACAAGTTCCACAAGTTCCGCAAGCACTACTCCGCGCTGAGGCAGGAGTACCCGGTCCACGCCGCCCGCGCCTCCCCAGGGCCCGCCAGTCCGCCCGCCAGCCCCGTGGAGCCGCACACGGGCGCGGCGCCGCTGTCGCCCGGGACGCGCGCCGCAGCCCGCAGCCGCCGCAAGCCCGCCGAGCCTCGACGCCTGTGCCACGAGGCGGCGCCCAAGCGCCCGCACAGCCCCGACCCGCCCCGCTCCGCGAAGGCCGCCCGCACCGATGGCGCCACCGACGTGTCCGAGAAGAGCGCGCCCTCGTCGCCGTCCCCGGGGGCGCCGCCTCTCCTGCAGCACCACCCACTGCTCAGCTCCTTCAGGAGGCCGCCCATGGGCGCCTTCCCGCCCCTCCTGATCCCGCCGACGTGGCCGCCGGTCACCGCCCAATGGAGCTACCCGCGAGTGGTCAATCCCTTGGGGTGGGCGGGGCTCGCGCCCGGCCTCACGCCCGCCCTCAGCCCCCACCACTACCCCATGCTGCTCCCGCACCCGTACCCGCTGCCCCGGCCGCTGCTCCCCTCGCAGCTGCCTCCCGCGTCGCCGCCGCCGAAGTCTCCGCCGCCGCGGACGCCCCCGGGGGAGCGCGTGCCCCGCGACGACCTGCCGCTACCGCTGGTGACGCGCGTGGCGGCGCCGGAGGGCCCGAGTCCGAGCGCGGGCGCGCACCCCGCCGCGCGCGCCGAGGTGAGCGTGGTGCGCAAGGCGGGCAAGGCGCCGTCCAAGTTCCTCAGCGTGGAGTCCCTGATCGCGTCGGACAGCCCGTCGCGGGCGCCGGCCGACGGCGAGGACGACGTGCCCGGCAGCCTGGGCGGCGACGCGTGCCCGCCCGACGACGACGACACCATCCACGCCCTGCTGCAGCCCAGCAAGCAGAAGCAGCGCAACTACAAGAACATGACGCGGGAGCGGCGCATCGAGGCCAACGCGCGCGAGCGCAACCGCGTCCACACCATCAGCGCCGCCTTCGAGAAGCTGCGCACGTCGGTGCCGGCCTACAGCCACAACCAGAAGCTGTCCAAGCTGTCGGTGCTGAGAATAGCGTGCTCGTACATCCTGTCGCTGTCGCGCCTCGCCGGCCACGACTACAGCGCGGGCGGCACCGAGCCCTCGTTCAGCGAGTGCGTCGACCTGACGACGCGGACCATCCAGGTGGAGGGCAAGGCCAAGAAGAAGCGGGACGAGTAGGCCGCCCGCACGCCCACCCCGCGCCCTCGAGTGACACTCGCGTCCCCCCTCTGTCACTCCTGCCCCCCCCCCCCAGTGATCACATGCCCTTAAGGGCTTCTCCTCCCCAGTGTTACCACGCCCACAGTGACACGCCCACAAGTGGCCCAGAAACGTTCAGTGACTCAAGTTCGAGATAGTCCCACCGAGTGACAACTCGCATATTTATTAGTGTATTTTAAATGCCGAAAGACCTAATCTGTGAGAGAAAAGTATAGTCTATTTAGAATTCCAAAAGACAAGATATTTGTACTAAACGTGTGTTCTAGTCGAAGTGCGAGGGCCCCGCTCCCGCAGCCGCCGTGTGCTACACAGGATCTGCCGTGAAACACAACAGCCGTCCGCCTGATGTTTGTCCTGTTCTGCTCGTTGTCTGTCTCGCGCTCCTTCGGGAGGGAAATGACCTCCTTCCGTGAAGGGCTGTCTGCGCAAGTCCCTCCAGGAAGGGCTCGTCCGTGACACCGGGACTCCGTTCCAGCGGCCGCCCTTCCAAGGCCTCCGTCAGCCCGTCGAGGCGGCTTCTCAAGCCGGCCTTTACTATAGACTTTGTAACTTCAGTATACCACAATGGTCTTTGGTTAGGAACATCGATTTTTATAATCTCATAACAATAAGGTGCTCACCAAAGTACATTATAGCTTTGTGTGTCGATGTGTGTTATAGTATAAACATGTAAGCCGTTTTTAAGGGCCTGTGAGGCATTTCTTGTAAGGCTTGCAAATCGTGCCCCCAAAGTGGACGAGTTCGGGCTCTCCTGCGTCCTCCTCCCCCCCTATCACGTCCCATCGAAAGCTTGTTCATAATGTTCAACGCGTTACGTGCGAGGGTGACAGGAACAGGAGACCCGGAGCCGTCCAGGTTTTTTTTTTTTCTTACTCATGTCAGCCAGAGCATTCCTATGTCCCTCCTCTGGTTGGAATTTTGACTAATGATTTCTAGTGGTGTTGTCAAGCTCTCAAAGACTATGTACTATCGAACAAAAGATCATTCAAAATTTCACTTCTCCATAGCTATCACAACACATTATGCGCATATTGAAAGATGAATACATTTGTTTGCAAGTAGAGTCATTTAGTGTATTGATGAATCATGAAGCATTGAGTTGGCACCGCTGCTGGGATGTTTTTGCTGCCTGCTCTCATAGTTCAAATTTCCCCCACAAGATGGCAGCAACGACAGCCCTCGTTAGAAGTCAGGTATGCGAGACGGGTCGAAATATACAGATAATCTACAATTTCCCATTATTTCTGTATGGCCTAGCACACTTCCCATTTGTCAAAATACCAGTAAAAAAAATCTTGTATTATTAGGAAAAGGGAACGAAACTCCCACCCAGTTTGCAAGACTGTGGATAAAGTTATTTATTTTTTAAAATGTATTGTTGAAACTGCGATGTTCGAGATTTAAAATTCTGGATTCCATGTAGAAGCAAAAATTTGATCTGATTAATCGTAAATGGCGGAGGACAATCTGAATTTTATATTACAGATGTATTTTTTTCCGAAGCGTCAAAACAGATTTTGTCAAATAACTTTTGAACAATAGATGAAGAGATACATGATTCCCTAGATATCAATCTTTTGATTCTTTTAACTATCATTTGATACATGTTCTATGGACACTACTTTTTTCCTATATCATTATTTTACCAAATCTTCCTTTATTTTCTGTTTTTCTACTTCGACCCCTCGGCTGACTCCGAAACCTCATACATAACTCTGGCCTTGGCATCGTAGTATATTCACTCTTTTTCATCAGAACTGGTACAAATGAACTCACTAGACACTACCTCAGTCAGGCACAGTCAAATCGAATATTAAACAAAAAAGGAAATGAAAACCAGATATGTAAAAGTTTAGAGATGACTCAACCCAAAAAAAAAAGCCAAGCCACCGCACGTGCACTGAGACGCGCGGCCCCCACGTGTCCAGGCAACAAGGGCGACGTCGGAGGCACCCGGGAAAGTGGCGAACAAACAGGCGTCGTCGGTATTTAGGCAAATGGAAGGGAAACCAGCTGACGCGCCGCTGTGCCGAGGGGGGCGTGAGTCTCGGAGGCGTGGAGAGAAGGGGAAAATTGGACTGAGGGGAGACGGGGATGTCAGGAATGGGTTTTCAAGTGGGGGGGGGGGGGGTAGGGGTGGTTCTTGACAAAGTGATGCTAGAGTGTATTGGATAATTTCCCCTCTGGTATATTGTATTTTAGAAGACATTTGAAAAATAAAAAAATGTAGACATATTTCATACGCTTAACATAATCTCTTTCTGATAATTGGCTCGCGTACTCCCCCCCCCCCCCCCATTACTCTCCACAGCTTCCGACAAACATCCCTTTGGTTCTCATTAACCTTTATCAACCCTCTCCCCCCCCCATCCCTTCTTCCCCTCGCCCCATGCTTTCCTTTCTCGCAGGCCGCGTCAGTCACAGGGAGCGGCCGCTTCTCTCCCCCACTCCCACTCCCCTCACCCTCCACTCCCCCCACTCCCACTCCCCTCACCCTCCACTCCCCCTCCCCTCACCCTCCACTCCCCCTACGCCCATTCCCCTCACTCCCACTCCTCTCCCCCCACCCCTCCCGCCCGTTTCTGGTGGGTGTTCGATCACGAATCTGAGAAGAGGAGAAACAAAGGGGACAAGAAAAGGGGGAATTGGGAAGGACACAGATAGGTATTCACGACCACACTCCATCTTCCCGTTTGAGGCATAGGTGGAAGGGGGGGAGGGGGGAGGCATCGTGCACCTGCGTCGCCGACTTTGGCTTCCTTGGGCAGTTCTTCGGGGCTGGAAGGAGTGTGTAAGAAGCTCGGGTAATACGTAGTGAAGGAAATATTAAAGGATGTGTGCGTGTTGAGGTTTAAAAACTGTACGTGATTTTATGAGTATAAGCTAAACTCGTAGCTAGCATTGCTATTAAGATCATAGAAAAAATAATGCTTTTCACTCAGACGCCCGAATCTATTGTCAAGCAGGAAGGATTTAGTAGCAAGATAAACGTCACATAAATATACATGTAGTTGCAACCACGTTTATTTTTTTCATGCATTTCTTACTACCACGGACCTTGGGATTTGTGCAATTGACGGAAAGTAATGGATCCCAGACAGTAAACAACGAAATTTTCAGAAACTACTTTAATCTAATAATCTCGCTACTGAATATTTATTGGTCTCATTTGTACAGTATAAACAGACCGTTAAAGAATAGTTATAGTTATTATGGAAGCTATTTATATATATTGAATGATGAAAAAGCATTCGTAGCCCGATATTACAAGATATTAGAAGTTTTTGCTGAAGAGTTTTTGCTTTGTACATAAATATCCGTTGGGAGTTTTTAAGCCTACACGCATACGTACTTTCAAGGTTCCTTAACTACTCCCGTCTTAGCATCTACGACAGTCAAAACGTAATGACGTAATGACTCGGTACAATCTCCATCTACAAGCCCCCCCCCACCCCCTCTCCTCCCCCTTCCTGCCCCCCCCCCTCCCCACCAAATCTTTGACAAACCTCCCCTTCCACTTAACCTTTTCTCAACTCTCTCCTCCCCCCCCCCTGTTGTTCCCCTCTTTTCACGTTCTCCTTCCCCCCGTGTCTCCCCTCTTTTAATAGGGTGTGTGTCTGTCACATAAGGAGTGACGCCCTGCACTCCCCTCGCCCCATCTAGTGTTTACGTGAGAGTCTCCCCAGCCGCTCCCGGGGTGTTTTTAGATTAGGAATCTGGAGTTGGGGGGGCGGGGAGGGGAAGGGGAGTCGGTATGGGCGGTGAGTAGAGGGCGAGGGAAGTGCCGGCACAGCTGGCACTGGCGGGCTTATTTAGAAGTAAGGGGGAGGAGGGGGTGAGGGGAAGAGGGTCATACCACGCCGAGGGAATGGTTAGCAGAGGGGAGAAAAAAAGGGTGTGTGCGAAAAAGAGAGAGTGAATGGTATAGACCAAAAAAAAATATGGGAGGGGAAGACAAATACAGTCCCTCTCCCCTCACGTAACTCCCCTCCCCCCCTCCTTTCCCCTCACGAAGAAATTTCAAACCGACTTCAATACGCCGAGAAACAGCTAAATTCGTAGATCATGGGGGGTGGGGGGGACAGGATGTGGGGGAGGGGAGGGCCGTTAGAAGTGTCCATATTAAAGACAAACACGGCCATGAGACTGAGTGACAAGTCAACCGTTGATGTAATGAGGTAGAGGGTGTCACCGACGAGAGCGACCGTATTCAGGAAGTGCCCGTTGAGGTGTGATGGAGGAGGTTACTGGGGACAAGTGTCTGACCTGTCGATCATTTTGATTGGCTCGGCGACGTCACGAAGCTCCGCCCACTTGGGGTCCTTCTGGCGCGGTTTCAGAAATCAGGTCCTTGGTTTCTCAATTTTTTTGCTTTCTATTCTTTCTTTCTTTCTTCTTTTTTTTTTTTTTTTTATATTTCTTCCTTCTTTCGCATCGCAATCCTTTGCCTTCTCCTGTTATGTTCTTAGACACATGTTTCAAAACAACCAACTTTTAAACAAGACATCTTTTTATATCTTCATTTTCATTCATGTATCTTTATTTTCCCTTTATCTAGTCTCTTCTCTGTTCCCGGTATTCACAAGGAACCGCCAAATATTAAATAAATAAAAAATGAACTGAAAAAAACATGTGCCTTACGTCAGTGGTCCAAAAAGTAAATAAAGAATAAATAAAGAAAAAATCTATCAGTTCTCAGTAGTGAATTTCGAGCCTTGAGGATAACTTTTTATAACTCTTTGGATAATTTGCGATCATTTTTTTTTGTTGTAGTGTTTCTTCTGTTTGTATCATGTCTCCGCCTTTCCAGCGATGTATTTTTGTAGTTAGAAACTCCTTTTCACTTTGTTATACAAATGATATTACGAGAGAAATACTTTTGTATTTTGCATAGTAGTTTTTTTTTTAAAAGAAGGGGAAAATGAAACGTGAAACTTTTTTATTCACTTGGTCTTCCGTCTTTGTTTTAAGATTTTTTAATGTAAATTTTGTACATAGTTTAATACTGAATAAGTAAACAGTAAGGCTCTAAGTCTCCGCAAATTGTACAGTTTGCACACTCAGTTTGTACAGATTGGAGGAAAATACAGTTGTCTTATTTACAAATGGTACCCTCATACGCGCAGGGCTCTAGACCATCGGCTGAAATAGAGGTTGTGTGCGCATGCGCGGGGGAAACAAAACACTGCCTGGATGCGCAGTGGTGTGTCGAGAAATCAAGTCTTCTAAAAA